GTTGTATAAGTCAAATTGCCAATTGCCATCTTAAAACATCAGCTGCAATTCACAACATGAAGAAGGCAGTCTCTGCAGAGCATACAGGCTAATGGAGATGCAGTTATTTCCAGCATTCTTTATTTACCATTCATTCAAGTATGTTATGCCTTTGATCTGCTAATGTACAGGAGGAAGAGTGATACACTGTCTGTCTAGTTGGCTTACATAACAGTTAAAGTTTACAGCCTAAAAAACATGGAGCATTTTTTTCCCCTTTTATTCATTTTTATGTCAATTTGCACATTTCATGGTGACGCTCAGCCTCTCCCCTTAACTCCTAACAGTCATCATCATGGTGACACTCAGCCTCTCCCCTTAAGGCAAGGCAAGTTTATTTATACAGCACCTTTCAACACAAGGCAATTCAAGGTGCTTTACAAAAATGAAAGACATTCAGACAAAGGCATTTAAAAACAGTAAAAGATAATAAAAGAAACATTAAAAGAAAAAATATATGAATAAAAAGTAAACTTTTACTCCTAGCAGTCATCATCATGGTGACGCTCAGCCTCTCCCCTTAACTCCTAACAGTCATCATCATGTCAACCACAACACAGAGAAACACTGATAGAAATGTGTGTGTAGTTGTTGATGCATTGCTGACAGAGGGAACTAGAATACAGATTTAAGAAATATCAGTTTTTGAGCATGTCATAAGCATGTTTTGTCTTGACTATATTACAACTATATTATAATAAAACAATATATTTATATTATTGAATTGATTATTATTATTATTAGTAGAAGTAGTTTATTTGCATTAATTATATTTTAATCTTTTTGAGGCTAGTATTTGGCAGGAAATGCAAAATTCACCTGTAAACGCATACTGAACGACATACATTTACCATTTACCTCACTGTATAAAAAAGTAACTGTTGATAATAATAATAATAATAAACAGGAATTATATTTGCAAAGTAGCCTACTTTGTTTCCAAAAACAACTGTCGGTTGGGGGGGGGGCCTCATCTCACAATGTCGCTTGGGGCCCCAAGTTGGCCAGGGGCGGCCCTGAGTGCAGGTGAAGAGCTGTCGGCGAAAAGACAGTTTCAGTCCGGCGTATGTAAGAGGGAAAGAAAAAAAACATGAAGAAACTAGAGCATCACTCGAAGGTGGGTTATTGTATTAGGGAAATGTACAACTTGCTAATGTTGTATAAGTCAAATGTCATGTTGCCAATTGCCATATTAAAACATCAGCTGCAATTCACGACATGAAGAAGGCAGTCTCTGCAGAGCATATGCTAATAGAGATGCAGTTATTGCCAGCATTCTTTATTTAACATTCATTCAAGTATGTGATGCCTTTTATCTGCTAGTGTACAGGAGGAAGCGTGATACACTGTCTGTCTAGTTGGCTTACATAACAGTTAAAGTTTACAGCCTAAAAAACATGGAGCATTTTTTTCCCCTTTTATTCATTTTTATGTCAATTTGCACATTTCATGGTGACGCTCAGCCTCTCCCCTTAACTCCTAACAGTCATCATCATGGTGACACTCAGCCTCTCCCCTTAAGGCAAGGCAAGTTTATTTATACAGCACCTTTCAACACAAGGCAATTCAAGGTGCTTTACAAAAATGAAAGACATTCAGACAAAGGCATTTAAAAACAGTAAAAGATAATAAAAGAAGCATTAAAAGAAAAAATATATGAATAAAAAGTAAACTTTTACTCCTAGCAGTCATCATCATGGTGACGCTCAGCCTCTCCCCTTAACTCCTAACAGTCATCATCATGTCAACCACAACACAGAGAAACACTGATAGAAATGTGTGTGTAGTTGTTGATGCATTGCTGACAGAGGGAACTAGAATACAGATTTAAGAAATATCAGTTTTTGAGCATGTCATAAGCATGTTTTGTCTTGACTATATTACAACTATATTATAATAAAACAATATATTTATATTATTGAATTGATTATTATTATTATTAGTAGAAGTAGTTTATTTGCATTAATTATATTTTAATCTTTTTGAGGCTAGTATTTGGCAGGAAATGCAAAATTCACCTGTAAACGCATACTGAACGACATACATTTACCATTTACCTCACTGTATAAAAAAGTAACTGTTGATAATAATAATAATAAACAGGAATTATATTTTTAAAGTAGCCTACTTTGTTTCCAAAAACAACTGTCGGTTGGGGGGGGGGCCTCATCTCACAATGTCGCTTGGGGCCCCAAGTTGGCCAGGGGCGGCCCTGAGTGCAGGTGAAGAGATGTCGGCGAAAAGACAGTTTCAGTCCGGCGTATGTAAGAGGGAAAGAAAAAAAACATGAAGAAACTAGAGCATCACTCGAAGGTGGGTTATTGTATTAGGGAAATGTACAACTTGCTAATGTTGTATAAGTCAAATGTCATGTTGCCAATTGCCATATTAAAACATCAGCTGCAATTCACGACATGAAGAAGGCAGTCTCTGCAGAGCATATGCTAATAGAGATGCAGTTATTGCCAGCATTCTTTATTTAACATTCATTCAAGTATGTGATGCCTTTTATCTGCTAGTGTACAGGAGGAAGCGTGATAAACTGTCTGTCTAGTTGGCTTACATAACAGTTAAAGTTTACAGCCTAAAAAACATGGAGCATTTTCCCCCCTTTTATTCATTTGTATGTCAATTTGCACATTTCATGGTGATGCTCAGCCTCTCCCCTTAACTCCTAACAGTCATCATCATGTCAACCACAACACAGAGAAATACTGATAGAAATGTGTGTGTAGTTGTTGATACATTGCTGACAGAGGGAACTAGAATACAGATTTAAGAAATATCAGTTTTTGAGCATGTCATAAGCATGTTTTGTCTTGACTATATTACAACTATATTATAATAATAATAATATAGTATTTATATTATTGAATTGATTATGATTATTATTATTAGTAGAAGTAGTTTATTTGCATTAATTATATTGTAATCTTTTTGAGGCTAGTATTTGGCAGGAAATGCAGACGTATTCACCTGTAAACGCATACTGAACGACATACATGCACAACCATTTACCTCACTGTATAAAAAAGTAACTGCGTTGATAATAATAATAAACAGGAATTATATTTGCAAAGCAGCCTACTTTGTTTCCAAAAAAAAATGTTTCACTCCTGTCGGTTGTGGGGGGGGGGCCTCATCTCACAATGTTGCTTGGGGCCCCAAGTTGGCCAGGGGCGGCCCTGATTTAACCTGTGAGGGCGGGACATTGCACGTCTTTATCATTCTTATTAGTAAATGAGTACATTCCTATTTGTTAACTATTGTCACTTCTGCAACGTTCCCTACAGAAAAAACTGTGTAAACCATCAACACACACCTGCCAGCTGTCAGATCTTTTTCATTTCAAATTTTGGAGAAACCAAGGGAAGAAAAGAAGATAATTTAAATAATAAGACAGAATTGATCCATTTAGAAGTTGTAATGTTCAGTTTCTTTATGCAGTTTCTCAAGCAGTTTGAGGTAGCAGAATGATTTACAATGTGTATATCATTTTGGAACAGCATGACATGACAAACCTAGGAAGCCATTACAAAAATGTCATGACATGATGTCAGTGACATCCATCTTTGTATAACAGTAGATTGTTCTTCCTGTGTCTAAAGCCATTGTCAGGGCAGACCGAACTATACATGGCAATATTTAAACAGATCTAACTTCTGCTTCATGTATTTGCCGGTCCAGTCAGAGATACTGCACATAGGACGAAATGTTGTAGTGATTATACAACCAAAAGATCTATGACTATGGCCTGTGAAAAAGCCTCCACTAATGGGCAAGCAGCCACAAAATCACAACAATAACAACAACAAAATCAGTAGCCACAGTTCACAGAGTAGCAAGAGCATTAAGGGGGTACGACTGATAACCTGGATTAAGTTACCTCTGACACAGGTTTCTGTGCTGCTGTCTTTGTTTTTGGCTACCTATGAGCATTTGTTCTTGAATTAGCCTGCTGTACTCTCACATTGTTTATTCTATTGTGCATATAATCATCAAATCCACTTTTAACAGAGATGTATATTTATAATGTATAATGATGCATCATTGCTATCCAAAAAAAATCATATCTACATTTTTGGAATTTGATTTAGGAGTGTTCTCATGTTCAAGATTGTCCTACTTCTTGAGCTAATGTGAAAGAAAATAGAATTATCTGAAAATATGCTCTTTTTAAACCTTAATTTTTTCGAGATACACTTTTTTCACATGACAGCAACAGCCTGCTCCAGGGTAAAGTCCTGCTATTCTGGGAGCCAAGTCTTAGTGCGAGTGAATGGGGCTTCACAACATAAAGGAAACCTTTTTCTAAAGGAAGTAAGAACAGGAAAGTTATGTGTTAAGATTTAAAAAATATATATATGTATGGACAGTAAGAAATTCTGCAGTAACAAAAATACATCCATTATGAAGTGGAGTTTTGTTTATATTTTAAAACCTATTTTATTAGTTAAATGTCAGTCTTAACCTCAGATAGCCCCCTGTTTTCCTCCCCTGTCTTGACTGTGTAAGAGATAAATGTGCTCACGGCATGAGGGGAAATGTATTTCAAGTATTTGGGTCAGAAACAAAACATAGCGACTGAGAGAGAGCAGAGCGCTGGGGGAGGGATGAGAAGATAGCAGGGCAGACAAACAAAACTGCTTAAGAACACATGGACTTTCCCCACGTGAATCAATATTCAAGCCCCGATCTCCCTGTTGAGCAATGAGGCCGCAGAGACGAGGGAGCTGAAAGACAGATGAGACAGAGGGAGGGCTGTGGGATGTCAGGTGTAAAGAAGGAGATTCTCATTGGAGGCAAAGAGAAAGAACATCGCTATGCATGTTTTGAGAGAAAAGGGAAAAAACTAAAAGCATCCTACACGCTGAAACCATCTTTGTTGCGCTGCTGCACTCTGGACTCCACATCCTAGAGTTTTAAGGTAAGTGCTGGACACATAGCTGCCAATGGATACAAAGATGAAATACAAAATGATGAAGGTTTGGATAAAACAACATTTCTATTTTTAGTTGCCGTTTGTTCAGGGGAAAAAAAGACAAACTCAATGTCGAGGCTTCAAGTTGGGATGTGTTGCATTGTTAAAGAATGTTTTAAAACATTTTAAAATGTCGTTTTTATTTGTGTTTGAAATGTGTGGTTGCACTATGGCAGAATGTGAGAATCTCGACACTGGAAAACATTTTCACTCACAAATTATAAAGCAAAACTGTTTTTCATCAATCTTCCTGATAAAGATATTATGATTTCTCTTCTTGTAGACTAATAAACTAATTCACTTTTAATGAGATTTTTTTGCAGGAGGACTGCATTACAATTCTGAAATCATAAATTATACACAATCATTTTTACACTAGAAATATTACATAATGAGAGATTTTCTTAGTGTGTAGTATGTAGTACTGTGTGTAGTACAGGTGCAGCCACAAAACCTCCTAGCATACATCCAGTTAATCTCTGCATGAGTGTAAGAGACAAACACACTTAATTGCAGAAATAAGAGAACAAAGATGACTCATTTGGTTGTTTTTCTTTTTGTCCCTCTTGTGTTTAATGTAGTAGCCTTGGAGGAGAACAATCTGTAACAAGACTGGCATGATGTCCTCAAAGTTGAAGTGGCTGATTGTGATCCAGCTCTTGCTGAATGAACAGGCTTTGTGTAGGGTCCCTCCTCCTCTGGCACTTAGAAACACTCCTCTTCCAGAAGCAGATTTCAATGAGGCGGGAGAGGAGACAGCCAAACAGGAACATCCATCTCTCCTTGAATCCCAACTTGATGTCCCATCTGCAAAAAAACATGATCCTGCATTAGAGGTCGAACAAAAAGAGGAGAGAGTTCGATCTGCCCAAAATATAACATCCGTGCTCAGGGCAAAGCTCGTGGGGCAGATTCAAGATCATCTCCACATCCAGGGGAAGGTAAGCTGTGAAGAGCTGCTGTCTGCCAGCACTGTGGACGACCCATCATCCTCCATGTTCCCCCTGGAGCTCCTGGGGCTTTCTTTAGTGCCCGTGTTGTTGGTGGCAGGCTGCCCTCAGGAGGCACACACCTTGGTGCTCAAGCTGTACGACCTTTTAGGAGTGGCTGACGCGGAGGAGCTCCTGATGGAGGTAGAGGGTCTGATGGAGAGGAGGATGAGCAAGTCCACGCCTGCACCTGCATATGAGAGGGATGAAGCAGGGCGCCACATAGAGGCTGTGATGTTTAACATCCAGCAGCTGGCCACGGTGGGGGAAGATTCCTCCAAGCAGGAGGGTCATTGTGAGGGTTGGAGCAGGGTGAGGGGCACCATGCTGGCAGGAGCAGCAGTGGAAGGAGCCACAGGTGATCTACAGGAAGCCGTGAGCTCCTGCGAGAGGCTGGGGGTCCTGTGTGCCGGTGTGACCAGCAGTGGACTCAAACCTGGGAAGTACCTGGCAGTGTTTAAGAAAGGCAGTCGCGTCCTGCCCTCTGAATCCACAGTGTCTGAGTGTTGGATCCGTCAGTGCAGCACAGATGAGGATGTTTGCACCTCTGCTGCTTCAGGTGGACGTCTGAAACGCAGCTCCCAGAGGAGCTGCATCAACAAAAGCGAGCAGCGCGTGTACAACGTGGTGGAGTGGATCCCTGCGGTCAGCACCCTCTACAACCTGGGCACAGCTGTGTACTACGCCTCGGTCAACTGCTCTGCAACCGCCAAGGAGAGAGCCATCCTCAGCGCCGTGGACCTCGGCACCGACGCTCTCATGGTGGCCACGGGGGGGGACGGCGGGGGTGGCAGGCTACGCCCTGGGGGCAGGGATGAAGACCGGTGTGAAAGCTGGCGTCAAGTATCTGCTCAACTCCATGAAGAAGGAGGATGATGTGCTGGTGAACCAGTTCAGCTGGGAGGACGGTGTCATCACCATCCAGTAGACTGGGGATCAATACATTAAGCTGCAACACTTGAGCAATACATATTGTTATAAGTAGTTCATTTAAAACAACACAGGATCAATGTTTGATGATTGACATGGTTGAAGATTAATTGGTTTGTTTTTTAGGGAACAAGATTACACATTTTGGGGATTTTCAGAATCAAATTGAAAAGTAAACATGTTTTGTCTGTGTGAGCGCACATACACACATTTAATTTTAATCTATTAGACAAAATTATTATTATTTTTTTATTTTTATGACGACAGTGATTTTCGAATTAGTATGTAACTCATGTAAATTAGTTTCACAGTTCTTTTGGGGCAGATACGCCTAAAATGTAATGAAAATTCAATTACAGTAAAAAGCTGATTACATTACACTTTAATCTCAATGTAAGGAATAGAATTAGGGCCATATGTGATTTTCTTTTGTTGATCTGACCAATTTGTGTTTGTTTTTTCAGTCAGAACTCAAAATAAAATGATGTCAATAATATAAAGGAAAAATAAACCAGGTCATAAAGTACATTTTGAACATGTTAGCTTTTAGATAGCGTCTTGTTTGGATAATGGCTAATAGTGTAACATTGTTTTATATTAGGCAGTAACGTTTGAAGAACTGGTCTCAGGAAATTAAACCTTTAATCCTCAAGACTTTCACTTTGCTTTCCATCCAATGTCTACATTTTGTTGTTACCTATCTGTGAAGACATTTTGTCAGGTCAGTCATATTCCCACCCCTGGTGTTAACTGCAGGGACAATAGACAGATAACTAAATAATGTTGTTATATATGCTTTTTCTTTGTTTAAAAGGTCAATAAATTGTACATTTAAACCTTACAGTGACTGTCAGTGTCGTAGTTTTGCACAATGTTTGTATTTGTATAGTAAGATGGTCTCATGGTTACAAAACAGTTGGCAATTGACAAGAAAATACTATTCAATGTGCATTTTCACATAAAACTATGAGTCATGGTGTGCATACTTAGCTCTAGCCACATCCAGTACTTATGTCTAAACAAAGTTTTTATTTAAAACATGTATATTTAGGGTATACAAATCTTTACCACTCGGCATCGGTTGAGGCTAATGGGTTAATGTGAATGGAGTAACTGACTTTTCAAAGCCTGATAAAGGTCCCACATGCCTGCTGCTGATTTACAAATACACAATGTCCTCCAAGAAGAAACTAAATCAGCTCCCTGCAGACACGAATGAATGTAAATAAAAACATGTCTGCCTCTTCAGATCTCAACATAATAATAATAATAATATTCATTTCGATTTTTATAGCACCTTTCAAGAAACCCAAGGACACTTTACAATGGGAATAACAAAACAAAAAAATTATAATAATCACACAGACACAGGTTGAAAAACGGCCTGAGTGAACCGATGGTGTTTCCCAACCCACATTATTTCCTAACAATGCTAATAGAACATAGGAGCACTTTTGATAATGCTCATGTGTAACTACTCACATGCTGTGCTACAAAGTGCAAACCATGGTGTACCACCGTTTTTTTAAAGTGTTGGTGTATCATACCGTTTCACCCTGTGATAGAAATTTGGCCAAAGTGGGATCTTCTTCTTGTCCAATTCATACTGCAACCAGCAACCTGTCCCAAACAAGATATTTCATATGGGCCCAAATGACTATCATAAACAGACGTGAGTAATTAAAGATGAACGGATCTCTTTTTTAATGTGCTGTCCTGTGAACTTTGCTCTTTGTGCAATTATTGACCAATAGATTACTCTAGAAATTCTCAGTATTAATCCACAACTCTCTGCTTGATTAAGAAAACGTCCTACCTATAATATACTATAACTGTATTTAGAGTATCACACATTACATGATCTAAACGTAGTGGAAAGAGATGAGTAACAAGCTTAGTATTGTTTAATCGGATAAGTCCAGTAAAGCACACACTGCCTGCTTCCTGTTAACGGAAAGGGATTTTATTAGAAGAGTAACAATGTAAGGTCCATTTAATAATGTTGGAGAACATTTCCTTTTGTGTAGAGGGACGACAATCTCAGTTTGAAATCTGTCGCTTTCTCCCATCTATCCACAGCACAGATCTAACATTGTTTGTTGAATCAACAATTTTATTTTGTTTAATTTAACAATTAATCAAAAACAATGTGTTTTGATGGTATCAAAGGCAAGTAGACTGAACAACAAAATTAATGGGAATTTGGGGCTGACCTTTTTGAGAACCAACAGCCTTAACATGAGTTATATATTGTAAAAATAACCTTGGTTGAATAACGATATTTTGTACATTCAGTGCCCTTAAACTTCCTTTGAACAAACGCAAATAATAATAAAGAATAAAGAATTAAATGGACAGAGGATCTGATTGCATAAGAATAAAGCGGTGCGCAATAGATCAAATTCTTTATATAATTCTTGCTCAGTTGATATACTTCAGGGAGGGGGCAATTTTTAAATCAGGACCCCTGAATTTCTGCATCCAAATATGTAAAAGGTTTCTGCACTGGGGTTTAAATGTATTCATTTATGTAATGGTATGGCATGGGTGACATCTAATGGTAAGAGTGGGAACTGAAGGAATGAGTGAAATAAATTCTGTCATTGGTATGACAGCCACACATGTTTAAGTTTACATTTGGGGGAAATTGTAAATAATAAGTTACCTTATATTTAGCAGACACAGATTGATACCTGCGTATTTGGCTAATGTTGTAACCTATTATATGTGTTTACCTTTTTAATTTAATTGAGATTCTGCATACAAAAATGTTAATTTTACATATTACTTAACATAAAATCTGAAACATTCAAATATTAAAGAGTGGGGGTTGTGTTCTGACTTTTAGAGATACAATATGAAGGGTGGAAGTAACCATTTATAGATAAAAGTGGAGTCATGTGAATTGAAAAAGGGTAGAGGGGTAGAAATGAATGTGAAAGAGAAAAAATGGTGGTGAAAATGATGAAACATGGCTTTGTTTTCATTACACCTCATAATGTTTTAATGAACTTAGCATTACATTACATTCTTTTAAATAATGTATTAATTTTGTTATCATTATTGTCACTTGATTTAACATTTCACCTTGTTTTATTGTATCCTGTGAATGCATAAACAGAACGTGTTTTATTTTCTTTGTTTTACCCATGCGTCACATGCTCGCTTTATCACATCACAACAGTCAATGATCACAACCTAATTTCTCGGGAAATCTTGATACAAGGCATAAGTTTCTATTTTGCTCAGCGTCACTTCCCTCGCTACTGATTGACGTGGAAAACGTACCAACAGCGCGTGCATTGCTGTGTCCGGCTCGACCAATAAGCTGTTAGTTCTGAACCCACTAGGAAACTGTGGTAGCGGTTCCGGACATTTCGGCTCTTCAATGACTGAACAGCAGTGATGTTAGAGCCAAAATGGTGCCCACTGTTAGAATAAGAAGAACCAATTGGGAGGGATTACTAGGTATCCAATGAAATGGAAATACAAAATAAAAAAGTGTTTAAGGAAATAACATTCACGCTCCTGCGTTTTGTCGGAAGTTGTTTTGTTTTACCAGCGTCGAACAACGGATATCAGTTAAAGCTAGAAACAAGACTTAGCCAACCGTTAAAACGATAGTAATGCGCATGTCTTAAATGCTAGCTATTTACTAAGACATTTATAACTGGTCTCGGACTGACAGCATAAACCAAGGTGAGTAAATATGTTGTTACTAATAATAGAACATATCTAGGCTGTAGACGGATAGTCAAAGACAAGCATAATACGCACATACAGTATACTGAGTCTCTCAACCTATGGTCTCAACTACATAACACGATACGAAGTCATGTCATACAAAAGTAACTTACATAATAAGCAGTCACAGGTTGTCTCTGTTTGCACTTTGCTCCAGCTTCCTTCAACTGTTGATGATCGGATTGTTACAAAGCTGTCATCGCACCATGTATTAACTTACATGCTTAACAATTTTATGATCTAACGTTGAGCGTTTTATACTGTACAAATAACACAATTTTCCTAGCTGTATTCAGTGGTTTGAAATGAGAGAGACAGTTTGTATTTAAGGAAATACGTTTAGAAAGCAACTCAGGATTAGATACATCTATTTGACAGAGATACATGCACATGCAAATCTTTCAAAGGGGTTAACGTGTGGAATGGATGTGACATTTAATGGTAGGTAACTTTGCAAATGAAAAACAACGTGGTAATCACACAAACAACTGAGTCATACATATTGTGTATTAAACAACTGGGAACCTGTTTTTGTAAACCTAGTCATGAAAGGGTTGACTAATAGAATGTGAATGTTTAAAGGTATGGTAAGCATACCTTCAACTTCAATCCACACCTTCTTGGTCAATTTTTTGTTCGTTTTCGATTTATTTGAATGCCTTACTTTGGAAGATTGTCAATAAGAACAAAGATAAATCACTAAATTAATACCAAACTACCATTACTACTACTAACATTCTTGAAAATGGTTTACTCTTTGTGTTCCCTTGTTAACCAGGGTTAGGATGGCTCAGTGGGATAAACTGACAGAGCTGTCTGATGCGTACACGCAGCAGTTACATGAGCTCTATGACAGGGATGATTTCCCTATGGATGTGCGGCACTACCTCTCTGTCTGGATAGAGAAGCAGGATTGGTAAGGCAGCAGTGATATTATTCAACCAGCATTATATAATTCAAGGATTAGAGTGAAATGACCTGTTTGTCAAATACTTGTGTTTTTCATTTCCTTTTTTTCTGTAGGCAAAGAGCAGCCCGAGAACATGACTTTGCTATGGTGCTGTTCCAGGTCCTGCTGGAGAATCTGGATAACCAACACAGCCGCTTTGTCCAGGAGGAGTCATTCCTACTGCAGCACAACATTCGTCGCTATAAACAGGGTTTTCAGGTTTGATTGGATTGAATTTGTAATAGAACAATAGCACCTTTGGGTGCCCTATTTTACTTTGAATTGGAAAAATCCACCGAAAATATGAAGATCAAAATGGTTCTGATCCCACTGGTCATTGGCTGTGGCATTCATCTGACCTCTCTCCCCTGACAGAGATACCTGGAAGACCCCTGTGCCTTGGCTAACACAATCCTGTGGTTTTTGAGCAAAGAGAAGGATATCCTGCAGAATGCTGAGCTGGCTGAGCAGGTTGAGAAAACGTTTCATCAACTCATTGACACGCATATGAAATGAGACACACCCTAGTAAATACAACATTTATATATGATACAGCAAGCCCACGAAAACAACCACACTGATATTGCTCTATAACAGGTACTACATATAAATCAAATTAAGCTGTGTAGTATGCTTGGCCGACAATATTGCATGGGCTTAAAGTGCCATGTATAAATATAACCTTTTATCTTGCATACAATACTTACCTTGTTATATAATAATAACATATAATCATAGGTAACTAGTTTGCTGTCATGTAAAGGTGCCAAACAGGGATTAAGGTGAGCTAGCTCATTTGATTGCACAAGGATTCTTTTGTGTAACTCTATGAAGAGTCCAATTTGTCTTTTTGGACATTTGTTAATGTGACATCTATTTTTAAAGAATTTTTAAAAACATTATCAAACAATACTTAATCAGCCCACTGTAAAATACCAATGCTATAGAATAATGCTAATGGACAATGACATGAAAATGTATCACATTATATACATATTTTTGCCCATGTGACTATTTGGTCATCCACCAAAAAGGAACGGGCTGTGTTCTGCAATACTATAATCTATTCATAACTATTACATATTTAAAACCAAGTTTACAAAGGACATGTTTAATGTGTCCTGTGTGAATTTCTCCCTCTGTTTGCA